GTTTAGGCTCGCATTCAGAGAATTAGCGGCGCCACATCGTATATATAGTCAGAGAATTAGCGTTTCAGGTCGATGGTGTGTACGGTAACCAGAATTGCATCTAAAAGTCCTAATCAAACAAAAGATCCTACATCGCAGAAAGCACCAACACCATCACCATGCTTAACAAACGTAATCCCCTTCACTCCAGAAAGATGGAAAAGATTGCTTCAGCTGTTGACACTGGTAGTCGAGGATTAATTTCGAAAGCTGCCAGTGCTCGCAAATTCAGCAAGGATGTTCTGAAAGGAAGCAATCATGAGAAGAAGTATGAGGAAGACGCGATCATGAGGATGAACGAAGATGACAGTGACGACGATTTTCGATGGAGTGTTCGGCCTGGAATAATTAACAGTAACAAGCTCTCATCAGCAGGCGCATATGAGGATGATTATAATGATGATGACTCCATCAGTGATGAAGAAGAAGAAGAGGGAGATTTGATGAAGGAACGTGGCATTTCGAATGGGAAATCATCGCAAAATTCATCACTAGAAATGGTCGTTGGTCCCAGCAGCGCGCACAGTGCCCAGTCTCTTGGACTAGGTACCATTTCGGAAGATGACGACGATGATGGATTTGCCACTGGGTCAGCTGGCGGGGGTTCAGTTGGTGGGAAAAAGAAGAAGAAGAAAAAGAAGAGAGGGACCTCACCCAAACGAGGAACTTCACCCAAACGAAAGATGAAACGAACTCAAAGCGAAAAGACATCTAGCAAATCGAAATCAACAATATCCGAGACTACTGAAGCAAGGATGGGAGGCCTCTCCAGGTCCAAAAGTTATTCCAACGACGACGATCTTGACGACGACGACCTTGAGGTCCCTCGTCGAACCATTAAAAAGTCAAAATCAAAGAAAGTCAAAAAGGGACGAGCCATTAAGGCGCCAATGAAAATTGATTTTACGGGTCAAGTCACTGATGCAGCCAACGATGACGACGAACCAAGTGAAGACTTTGACGACAGTGTGGAAGGTGATACCTCAAGCCCCACCAAGACAGCTGCCAACGATAACGATGATGACGGCTCTGATGCATACATGGATCCAATTGCCAGGGCAAACATTATTGCAGAGCATTTGTCACGACGGTCTCTAAACAGCAGATCAGATAATAATAATCATTTGGAAGAGATCAAGGAAAAACAACCGCTCGAGGAGGTCAATAATCAGAGTAAACTTGAGTCATTGTTATCGA